AGAGAGAGAGAGAGAGAGTTGAAGTGAAACCTGGAAAAGCAAGGATAATCAGCCAATCAGGAACCCCCTCGGGCGTTTAAAGGGATGGTGGGCAGTCTCTCGGGCTTTATGAGCGACTTATTTTGCATCCTCCACACATTCTCACGTCTTGACCTCCCACAGACACGTCAAACAGAGACTAGCGTTTGGATGAATAACAGCCTGGTTCGCCTGGGTCGGCATGGATCTGTTCTGAGCGGCGTTTTTCTCCCCCTTTCCTCCATATGAGCTGCTGCTGGATGCTCCTCGCCCTCCCCCCGCCGCACTTGTTGCGCAGAGACTAGATGCGCCGCTGAGTCCTTGGAGAGGAGAGGCAGGGACGGACTGCAACAGGTGCACACAGAGAATCTCCCCCTGAAAGACTGCACTGGAGGTAGGGAAATTACGCATCATTTGGCAGTTTGTGGGATTCATATATTGCTTGTTTGGGATATTTTGACCAAACAATATTTACCTGTGGTGATTTATTTTTTTTAACTAACTGTGTTTTTCTTTTACTTTTTTTTTCTTTGACCTCAAGATAAAACAAAACTTTAAATGCCGATCTGAGGATCTTTTGGCCATCCTCAGCCTTCACCGCGCGCACACAGCCAGGATGCCGGTTCTGACGAGCCCCGACATCGCCAACAAGTTTAAGGAGAAATGGCTGGCGGTTTACCCGGAGGATCAGGTCACCGGGTCCGACTCTGTCCCCCTGGACGACAGCCTCACCAGCCTCCACTGGCTCCAGAATTTCTCCATCCTCAACGCGGACCCGGAGCGACCCAACGGTGCTGGACCGGGATGCCCGTCCTCCCAGCAGCACCTCTATCTCAAGCGTCTCGGCTTTCCTAGAGGTGGCACCGACTCTCCGTCCAGTCCGCCTGCCGGGGACACCGCCGCCACCGGGATGCCTCCGTACCTCGGGAGCCCCGTTACGTCCGGCAGCGACTCCACCGCGGCACCGTGCTTCGCCAGTTGCGCGCATCCAGGGAGCGGCTACCCGCAGATCCCCATCCAGGCCAGCCCGCCTGTGGAGGTCGACTACAAAACCAACCCCAAAGTCAAACCGCCCTACTCCTACGCTTCTCTCATCTGCATGGCCATGCAGGCCAGCAAACAGCCCAAAGTGACTCTGTCCACCATCTATAACTGGATAACGGAGAATTTCTGCTACTACAGACACGCGGAGCCCAGCTGGCAGGTAACCGAGACTCTAACTCTCCTTCTATTATTGATGAGTCAGATAAATGGCGAGGTGAGGGAGAGAAGGGTGAGCAATTGATCCCAGTGTCACCATCAGACACCACATCTTTATGCTACAGGGCATCAGTCTTTCTTTCAACAATAATCATCAGACACATCTGAAAACCTCCAGCATGCACACAGGATCAGGGTCTAATTTCAGCCTTTTAACATTTCCATGACAAGTGTTTTTTAATGCAAGTGTCTCAGAAATGTCCATCTTCCTAGAGAGTGCTCACTCATATAGGGTTTTTGTCTGAGGGGAACGATGATGGGGTGAAGAAAGGACTCTAATGTGTGTGTGTAGGTGTGTGTTTGTTTGTGTG